GAAAGCCCCGGCCGGTAGTTACGCATTGACCTGCCACGACGGCTTCATCCAACCGCCAAACCTAACTGAAACCCCACTCCCTGCGCCCTCTTTTGCACAACGCACCCCGATTCTCCTTTATTTCGAGGCGAGTCCATTAATTTTGAAAAAACCGCTAGAATTTGTACAACGTGGGAGTAGTTCCTTCACGGGCAGGGGAAATTATTCCATAAATTAATAATAATAATGGGTCAATAAGCTAAAATTACAAATGCAAAAATCCACCTGATCCGGACGGTACTTGGAAATTAAGTGTGATTATATATAAGAAAACATCTTGTTGATGGAATTAAAGAACTAAATAATTCGAAATGTTTTCATCAAGATAATTTAACAATAGAGTAGAAAACCTCTCCACTTCTAACTCTAGTATATAGGATAAGGTAGTTATAAACGACCAATCGGATTAGAATGTCAATATATAATCATAATTCTAAAGAAAAAACCAAACTGTCAACATATGTACATAATAACTACCAATAATAATCTATATAATAATCCTACATAAGATACTATAATTATTCTTATTCTAATAATAAAACTGTTTAATTAATAAGGCCCACGAAAAAGAAGTTTCTCAGAAATTTTCTAATTATTTCATGTAACTAAAACCCTAAATTATATTATATATACCAAGGAAATTCAAGAGGGAAACAAAGAAATAAAATCCTATTTAGACCCCCCCCACCTCTCAACTCCACGACGCATAACTTCTCCCGCTCCCTCGTTATCGTCCTCCGCTTAACACCGTAATCGACCTCTCACCGATCGACGTCTCAAAAAAAATCCAAAAAAAAATCTTCGATTAATGGCTCGCGTAAGCAATGGGCTGGTTGCGACCCTCAATGTGATCTCCCTCCTCCTCTCCGTCCCAATTCTTGGAACTGGAATCTGGCTCTCCTCCAAATCCTCTGCTTCTGTTTGTGAGAAATTCCTCGCTGATCCTGTCATCGCTATTGGGGCTGTTCTTCTTGTTATCTCCATCGCTGGTCTCCTCGGTTCCTGCTGCAGGTTCTTTTTTTTTTCCTTCTTTATGTTTTAGTGGTATTTTGTAGTTTTTGAGTCATGGGCTTAATTATAGTTTTGGTTACTCGGTTTAATTCATCTTTTTATCTTTATTTATTGATCGTGATGTATCTGAGGAGTAACATGAAACGTAATTTTAGAAAGGACATCGATCAGAAAGAATTTTTTTTCTCTTTCGAATTTTATTACAGAGAACAAGCGTATTTAAATATGTTTGCGTGTAAAATATTTCACGTTTTGTCCTTGATGACAAAGGGAAAATACTTGATTTTTTTTTTTGTAAATACATGTGAACATAAGTAGGTTTCATAAAGTAAATTTGATATTTGAAATTTTTGTAAAGCATCCTTTTTTATTTCTATTTTTATTTTTTTGGTAAATCTATTCTTTGGGTATATTTTAGTGGAATTTAAAAAATTTGGTTTTAATTTTTTTAACGTTGGGAACGTGTTTAGTTATCTGAATGCAGTTCGAATTCAGATGCCGGGGGCTTTATTTCTCTTCAGTTACTGGAAAAACTTATGCTTTTTCTCATATTTCAGTAAAGATCGTTGGTTTCTAATTAATTAATTTAAACATTGGTTGATTCTCTATGTCTTCTCTCTCGTGTAGGATCACCTGGCTCCTCTGGGTCTATCTCTTTGCGATGTTCCTCCTGATCGTGCTCATGATCTGCTTCACAATCTTCGCATTCGTCGTGACGAACAGAGGAGCAGGCGAAGTCGTCTCAGGGAGAGGATACAAAGAGTACAAGCTGGGAGATTATTCACATTGGTTGCAGAGGAGAGTCAACAATCCGAAGAATTGGGTGAAGATTAGGAGCTGTTTACAGGAAACCAAGGTCTGTCGAACTCTACAGGAGAAGAATCATACGCTGAGAGAGTTTCTTAACGATATTAATCTCTCCCCACTTGAGGTACTGTATATATTTTTTTGCTTTATTATTATTATTATTATTTTTTGGAATTTTTTAGTGGAAAAACTTAACCTTTTGCTTTTGTTTGCCTAGTTTTAAAATTTTGGTTTCCTCTATATTGCTATTACTATGGTGAAGTTAGTTGCTTTTGGCTAGAAATTTGCAAAACCCTTGTCTTTAAGGTAAATTATACAAATTTAGGGTCAATAAATATATCATGAAAAATATTGCAAAAAAATTATATTGTGGAACCTAAGGGGGTGTTTGGTTGCACAATTTTATAGAAAAGCTTTCTCAAAACGTCTGACAATGACAATTCTGTAATCAAAAATTTTCTGTAGATTTTCGTAAAATGTGTTTGGTTTTAAAAAAATTATAGAAATGTTTTCTGTAAAGTACAAAAAAGTAAAAATTCCCTCTCAAAATGGGCGGAAATCACCCAGAAATCTAACACCACTGACACCACATTGACATTTTCTATAAAGTTGATAATTTTCTATAAATTTAAGGGGTGTTTGGTTCAATTTCTACAAATTATAGGAAATCTTGCTATTTTCTATAAAGTTATGGGTCATTTTCTTGTTCTTAACCAAACAAGCAAAGTAAAAAAAACGAGAAATTGGTACTTTTTGACTTCTCAAAACTTTTCCTATAATTTTTTTAAGAAATACAAAGAAATCATATTTTGAGTGGAAAATATTTCCTATAACATGTAGAAATTGAACCAAACACCCCCTAAAAATAGAAAGTGGAATTATGGAATTTCATTCCCAGCAGTTAGATGATCAACAGTAGTATAGAGCATCTTGTCTACAAACAAACAATTAATAACAACATGCATGAATATATTCTTCTTCCTCTACACGTACAGTCTGGCTGCTGCAAGCCTCCAGCATCGTGCAACTTCACCTACATAAGCGACACGGTGTGGGAGAAACCCGCAGGATTCAGCAAAAACTCCTCCATCGGCCGCAGCACCGGGGACTGCAACGCTTGGGACAGCGAGCAGGGGAGGCTGTGCTTCGACTGCCAGTCTTGCAAGGCCGGCGTCCTCGCCAACCTCAGGAGCGACTGGAAGAAGGTGGCCATCGTCAACATTGTGGCGCTCGTGTTTCTTGGTGCCGTTTACTGCTGCGGGTGCTGCGCCTTCAGCAACAACAGGGAGGATAACGCGCGTCCCTATAGATGGAAGGCGTATCCTTAATTAATTAGGAAGTATTTTAGTTGGTTAATTTCTTTTGTTTTTTTATTTTATTTTAATTGTTTGAACTTTGAACTTAGTTACTTCGGATTTGGTATGTATAAATATTATTAGTATGAATTATCTTTTCACCTAGCTAGAAAAAAAAACGAAAGCTTCTAGATAATTTTGTTGAGATTATTGGCCGTCTTGGTTATTTCAATTTTCAAAAATTATAAAACCGAACCAAAGTCTCTCTAAAACCTAACCAAGTCGATCCACCTAAATTCAATCGGTTCTGTCAGTTTATCTGGCACCGCAATAATACCTACGGCTTCTCCCAATTCAACCAGATTGTCGTGAGTCGGGCTCCTTCCATAACGCAAACGACAGATCCAAGATGGTGTCAAATCAATGGGTAAATCTCCTTTAAGCAGCAACAACAATGGTTTCGTGGTGTAGTTGGTTATCACGTCAGTCTAACACACTGAAGGTCCCCAGTTCGAGCCTGGGCGAAGCCATTTTTGATCCGTGTTAAACAAATATTAAGGAAATAAACTTGAAGATGGTCTCATCCACAACAAAGTCGTTGTAGTATAGTGGTGAGTATTCCCGCCTGTCACGCGGGTGACCCGGGTTCGATCCCCGGCAACGGCGAATATTTTTTTTGTTAGAAAACGTTTCGCAGTACGAGATGATTTCTAAACATACAGGAGAATCAATTTCGGTGTCCCCGAAAAGGATATATAAATTGATTATTTATGGGACGCTATTATATGACCTCAGCAACCACTCCTCCTCGTGACCACTCGATCCTGTTATGTTTAGGATTTTCGCAAACATTAATTTTTAAGTTCAATGACCGAATCAATTCGTTTTGCGTCATGCATAATACTTTTCTGTTAGACTAGGGGGGCTGTCCCCTTAGCTATAAGGTGAAGTGATACCAAAATTGCTCTAATTTATTGTATCGCTGGAGCTTATAGTAAGTTTGTTTGCTTAAGTATCTTTCGAAGACGACTTATATAGGATGTTAAAAATAGTTATTCAATAATCACACGTCGAAAATTACTACCAAAAGCGATTAAGGTGCTTGGCATAATTGTGTTTAAAATTTGTATAATTTTTTTAAATATAAACAATGCATAAGATAATGATGGGAACAAGTGCCTCAAATTCGATTACTACGAATGGGAAAAAAGAGCGGAGATGAAAGATTAACGACAAAAGATCAAAAACTTGAGTTTGATTTAGGAAATTAGGGACTTAAAGCTAGAATGCAAGATTATATATGGTTGAAATTAGTTTATACTTCATGATTATTAATATTTACTTTAGTATTTGTGACTATCAAGGATGTTGCATTATTAATTTATACACTTCATGATTATTATTAGGCCACTTCATTTCACATGATTACTGATAATAATAAGTATTAGCAATAAGATTATATATAGTTCAACTAGTAGTTACTCTTTTGTAAGGTTTATTGATATTACTTCATATAATTATCAATTAATATTCTCAAGCTTCAAAATATATAAATTAAGCTGTTATATCATCAAAATATATAATTATATACTTTCAAAGTACTTCAAATTATCCCACATCATTTTACCAAAATATCTCACTTCTGAAAAATTTATTCATCATTATCCCTTTAAAATATCTCACTTGCATAAAATTATCCCACTTGTACAATCATCCAATTATACTTGAAACGTTCCAACATCCTAAAACCACCTCTTGCAAATTACATTAAGGAAAAGGGAGGGGGTTGGGGGGTGAGGGGGTAGACATTCCAAATATCAGGGGCGGTTATGTTAGGTAACCAAAATACAGGGAAGTAATGTGCAACAACCCCCCATGTTAAGGGGTTTATGTGTAATTAACCCATTTAACTTATCTACTCTTAGTTCGGGTCCGTTTGGATAATGGAAGTATTGAAAATAAGAAGAATGTTACAGAAGTAATTTTCAAAACTATAAAATAGGAAGTAGTGGAAATAACATTTTTTGTTTCATATATTTTTATAAGTAATGGAAGTAGAACTTCTCCTCTTCATTTACCTTTTTTGTTTGAATAATATTTGAAAATATAAATTAGAAGGGGAAGAGTCGGTCGTGAGGATATAAATTAGAAGGGAATCTGATCACTTCCCTAATAATAATTTTGAGAATCACTTTTTTTCTCGTGGTTCCCACCCTACATCAACTTCCGCCGTATTTCGGTGCATTCGAAGGCGGAAAAATATCAAGGAAATAGAGGTGCCAGCTAGATGCCACATCAGCTTTTAAAGAAGTAGTGAAAGTAGTTTTTACAGAGAAACAAACATAATTTTTTATATGGAAGTAACAAAAATAGCATATACTTCATCTACTTCAAAGCTATTTTCGTGCAAACAAACATACCCTTAGGTGAGAGTAAGGATTTCTCTTAAGAAAGTACATAAAGGATGTCTGGGGAGGCTTTTTTTCGGCCAAACGAGCCTTTAAGCTAGCTTTTTTAATTCTACATTAGTAAAATGTCAAATAAGTTAGCTTATAAGTCTCATTTTAAAAGGCTAGTATACCCCCAACTTTTAAAAAACTAGCTTATAAACCCAGTTAAAAAAGCTAAGTTTAACCAAACAAATTACTAGTCTACTCAACAAATTTTTATAGTATTTTAATTAAAAAACCAAAAGTCATTAAAAGTCGGTATGATTTGTAAGTATAAAAAAAAGCCTTTCCATACACCCCCATAGAGCATAGGTATCTAGCCCATACTTGGTAGAAAACTCACCCAAAATTGATCTGTACTGAGTCTTCCTCTGTGAAATTAAAGCACCGCACTAAAACTGAAATCACATAAGAACTCCAAACTTCCTCCTCGAATATGATCGCGGTATAATTCATAGATGCTTAAGAAGTTTACAAGCATTCTGGGATTTAATTTTTTTTAAAAAAAAGAGGGAGAAAGAGGAGAAAACTGGAGAGAATCTAACTGAGGCTACAGATAAAACCATCTAATGTTTAAGACGATTACAAGCATTGCTGACATAAAGCTACCACTGAAGAAAAGAGGAAGAAAGTAGAAACTACAGAAATTAAACATTTATCACAGATAACCCATTGTGTGGATTACTGATTTCGATTGTAGAGGAGAGTCTCAATTTCCGAATTTCCGTGTCCTCCATGTCCCTGAGAATGATCACATCAAAGTCAATACATTAGTTATGCTGTTATTTGCAGTAACAGCAGAATTAGCATTTATTCGGGAAAAAAGCACAGGAAGAAGTACAAATAGAAAGTGAAGATATAAAAGAAAACCCAGAAAAGCAAATAGTAATATCTTGACTAATTCATCGAGATGTTTGTGGCTAAAGAGGGAGAAGCTCAAGTCGTACTTGGATCCCTTAGGAACTCAGCCACGAGGATTTCATTGTTAGCAAGAATATCTTAGCCATTTAAGTTTTGACGTAATGGAAGTAGGTTTATCATTTTGGCCTAAACAATATCAGTCAAATATCATTACTGCAAATGTCTGCTTTCCAGCACTCTCAAGCAAGCAGACTTCAACTTTCAGATTTCACTCCATGGCTTGAGGAAGATTGCAGATATCTCCCAGTCTTACTCAAAAGCATTCACACAATGGTGTTTGGAACTTAATTCACACACGGTGTTTCGGAGTAAAGAAATGAAAGGAGCAGCTCTATCCTCCCCCCCAACTTTGGGGTGCTTTACAACCACAGTAGCATGAAGGGGCTGCCTCAATTGTTACTTGATGTTGGATGTTAACCAAGGACTGACTTATGATTTATTGATCTAATTCACTAAACCTTGGAATCACTTACAATTAATTATTTCCGTATCTGCTCACCTCAAGTAACTAAGTACGCCTAGACGAAGTGCATTAGCTTTAAGAAACTCTCTTATTCTAATCAAAATTCACCAAAGTTTTGGCATTACTAACCATCATCATTTCTTATCTCTGTATTTGCTGACCTCAAGCAAGCCTAGACGACAATTGCATTAGCTTCAAATAAACCCATGCTACATATGATACATTTTGATTTTGATTTTTTTTTGGGTGAGACTCGTCTCATGAGGATCTGTTTCATAATATTGATAATTCGGGAAACAAGGATCAGAAAAAACCCAATTTATTCGTTAGATGAGAAAGCGGCAATGATATATGAACAGGTGGATTTTTTCAACTAGCAAGGGAATGATGATGTCGTTAGATGAGAAAGCGGCAATGATATATGAACAGGTGGATTTTTTCAACTAGCAAGGGAATGATGATGGTTGAAATAGATCTTAACAAATCAATATATGAACAGGTGGATTTTTTCAACTAGCAAGGGAATGATGATGGTTGAAATAGATCTTAACAAATCACAAAAAGCCTATAGCAAATATAATATAATATCAGACATATATAACAGCCAGTTAATTATGATTTAGAGGTCAATTACTAAACAGCCAGATTTGCGGGGTGAAATTAAAATACAAGTAGATGCGTGAATTAGCAAAGGATTATGATGGTTAAATCACCTTATAACAAATAAAACATAGCATTACATCAGAGTACTCTAATTCCTATAAGCATTCACTCAGATTGCCCAATTCTCCTGTATCCAAAATTACCAATTAAAAAAAAGGGAGATCTTTTGCACAAAAGTACGAGATCAGAGACAATAACAAAAGATATAGAACTATCAGATCTCAGATCTACAGGATTCACCTCAACCAGATCCGACGATGATGTTGTTGATGGGGATGAAGATGAGCTTGACGAAGAACCCAACGAATCCCATAACAACGAATCCGATCGCGGTCCGAAACGCCACTTTCGTGAACTCTGCGAGATCGAAGCCAATCAAAATCAAAATTGAGTGTAATTTGGATGGATCTAGTGATGATGATGACGGTGATGGAGCTTACCCTTGCGATCTGGCTTGTGGCATCTCTTGACGAGGCGAACGCTGTCCTTCGCGAAATCGCGGAGGGGATCGACGACGGATTCAATCGCGTCCATGGCGACAAGGGGAGGATCGGAGAATGAAACCCTAGATTCGAGACGAGAGAGAGGAAGTGAAGGGAAATTTGAGGCTTTTTAGAAAAGAGACGGACCTGAAGAAGCCTGATATACGAGTTAGAAGGCGGCCGTTTTCATATATAAAGTCCAATAAAAAATGGACTCAACGAAAATTCCTAATTTGGTTACTTAAATTTATCAAAAAAAAAAAAACATTTCTTAATTTAAAACAATAAAATTACTGGATTAGTATATTTTATTGATCCTAAATACCAACTTGTTATATTTTCTCACCCGGGCAATATGTTATATTTCGTGCAAGAGGCTGGTAGATACCCTATTATTTTGGTAGATGCCAAAATTCCGGCAAGCTCGGTCACACGAGCCATACGTTGACTTTTTATTGGCTTATGTGGTCAATGTAGTGAATGGTCCATAGGAGGGAGAAGAAGACATCCCAAATCGAACCTTAAAAATTAAGCGTCACAATGAAATAAATCAGCTTTTAACCCATGTGAATGAGCTATATTACCTGCCATATTGTCAGCCACGTATGACTCACGTGACTGGTCACATAACTAAGCTCGCTAGAAATTTAGCTCCGATCAAAGGGACATTTGTCATTGTTTTATACAAAATACACTATATCATCGTTGGAGTAAAAAAAAATATATACCTAGTTGTTATATAGGTCAGCAAAATATATTGCTCCGATAATTTTTCCCTTAGAAAACTATGTTACTAACTTGATAATGTAAATTTTAATATATAATATAGGTGTTTTCTTATGACACTGTGAAGATATAACTGCCTCTATTTTTTTTTTCTTAATTACGTAACTGCATAAAAATCGGAGCACAGCTACTGTATTATTCTAAAAGATAAATTACATATAAAAAGAAGGTAACATTTATTTGCTTAATATGATAACGCTTAAGTTAGTGCTGGAGATAGCTTACAAGAGACCTTATTGCAATAGCAGGGTGCATGTAATAGATTCTAAATATTTATATGAAAGCTTTGTTGTTGTTGTTGTAGTATTGCTTTCGCCTCTCAACTTAATCCCATCAATTCTTAATCACACGCTGGGGTTTTATAGCCCGGAGACAAAATGTGGTTACTCCTCTTCAGGCGCCTCTCGGTCAAAAAAAAAAAAAAAAAAAAAGGTGCATGATAACTCCAAATTATTATCATAAACTTAACATAAATGGGTCAAAAAAAAAAAAAAAAAAGGTGCATGATAACTCCAAATTATTATCATAAACTTAACATAAATGGCATGCTTCCAAAAAATATAACAAATTTTTGAATAGGATAACATTTTTTTCTTTTAATAGGAGACTCTACATATCAAACATAGTTAAATGCTTGGTAAATCCAGTTGATTATAATACATTTTTAACAGTAGACTATTTGAAAAATGGGTGACTATAAACCATCTTTATTGTCAAAAAGACCAAAAAATAGTTAATAAGATTGAGGAAAGATAAACTAGGCCTGGAATTTTGTGAAATATGAGGGGTTATTGGACTTTTACTTGGTCAAACCTCACAACTTGTAAGCCATAAAAAAAAAAAGCTAGAATACCCCAATTTAGTTTTACAACAGTCAAAATGGCTCATAAGCCAAAATAATTTATTCGTCAAACATGCGAAAGTGGCTTATAAGCCACGAAAGCAACTTATGAGTCACTTTGATCGCTTGACAAACATACTCTCAGTATATAGAAGAAACGGTATAATGCACTATTTGTAATGGCGCTGGGCTTATTCACGTTGGGCCTGAATCGGCATAAGAGAGCCATCGGTTAGAGGCCTAGCATTGTGGCCCAGATTTCTAGCATGAATTGACGTAATTGGCCTTGCAGCACCACCTCTGTAGTATTAGTACCCCCCCTCGTCGTGGTTCGAAGCCGTAAATTACTAACCGAAAACAGCCACCACCAAAGAAAATCCATCGGCAAGTATGGCCGTCAGCGGGAATCGATGGCATGGCGGCGCACGTTCTGGAGACGGGCCGCGGTATGACGTACATAACCTACTCGATAACATTCTAGGCCTCTCTTCGTCCCGGTCCTGCCTCAAGGACCCTACAAGGACCTGAGCCGCCTCGCAGAGGAGAAGGTCCACTTCTCCATCTCTAAGTGCGGCCGAAACGGAAAGCCCCGAGAAGCCCAGGTTAAGTTTCATGTCCCCAGTTATCTCTCTCCCTACCCCCCCCCCCCCCTCCCTTCGATCCCTAGCTAGCTAGCTAGGGTTTGACGATGGATCTGCGTCTAGGGTTTCAGTTTTTCTTCGGTTTTCTAGGAGGTTGATGGTGGATTGGGGATTTATTGGCTTTGTGTTATGGGACTGGGGAGGGTCTTTAATGATTTAGATCTGATTAATGCTAGATTGATGATGGGGGCTGATAATTTAGGGGGTTTTATGATTAGATTTGGGGATATTATCAAATTAAGTTTGAAAATTTCCTGTGTTTCTGTGTTCTGTGAAACTGTGAGAGGCAAGCGAGGTCAGCATCAAACAGAGACAGGAGATAATGCTTGGAGTAGATAGACCGTTATATGTATGAAATTATGTTTAATTTTTGAAAAGAAATCATCCACTTAAAGTTTCATCAAGGCTTTCATTGTATCCATTTGTGTGTGTGTGTGTATGTATTGAGACGTCCCTAAAGTCTCGAATATGTGCTGTAATCCCTGCATTGATATGTTCATTTAGCCTTGTAAATATCTGAAGAAGTCTAGATAGCTAAATTGGGAGGGAATGTTGTGTTCGAGCTTATGATGGATTCATGTCAAATTGGGTGAGAAGATGAATCTCTATCTTATTTAACATTGGAACATCTTGAACGATTTTGTTGTTTCGGAAGTTCAAATCCAAGTCAAATAGAATGAATTTGTGAAGGAAATCATGATTGTAATCTGAGTATTACTGCCTACACAAACTATGAACATGTGAACATTAGCTTGCAGTTTAATTTCTGTCTTATGGTTTACCCAGGCTAGTCTAGATTCGGGTCAAGTTCATTTTGTGTTAACTTCTCACTTTTAAAATCTCGAAGTGGGTTTGAAATTATGAATGAGGAGGAATCACAAATGTGAATTGAATTACTTCTGTCGAGACTGAGTCTCTTGTTCCCTTTTCCCTGTTCTTCCCTTGTCTTCTATTTTATGTTTCCATATTGTTCCTCAACCAGGATAGGAGAGCAAAGCAACAATGTCCAAACTTCTATACATCTTAATAAGCAACGTTGCTGCCTTATTGATCCCAGTAACCATTTAATGGGTTTTTTTGGAGGTAGCCCAATTCGAGATGACTTTAACACATGTTAGTATGAGCACAATGTATTTTGGCATATGCGTTGCAAGGGCAACCTTCAATTGTTAAGTTTTATTATGAATAAGATCTTAATAGAAAACCTTTTAGCTTATTGTCTAGATCGCAAATGTAAGTATATCAGGGAGATATGTCGCGAAATAACTTGCCCAAGTATATTAAAACCATACGTATCTTGACATCATCATGCTTAATGATGTGATGGACAAAAGAACTTTTCTTGGCCGTAAAGAAAAGGAAATCACTTGAGCGTCTACAAGTCTTTGTGAGACTAATATGTTATGATATTGGATTCTTGTTGATGATCATGATATATGATATTATGATGTGATTTTCTTATGATTGGTACCCTATTGTATCTTACATCGTGTATACCTTCCTATTTTAAATTATTTCTTCAATTAGTTAACAATGATGTTGTGCTAACTTATCTGTTTTCGTGACCAGCCCTCCGTACAGACTCTCCTGAAGAATGAGAGCTGGGGCATTGAAACGAAGCGCCGTCTCTTGGACCACGCTTATTGTTGTCCTTGTTTAGTTATGTTCCATCGTTTTTCTAGGTTTGTGTGTTTGCTGCTGTTAAGACAGTTTTGAGCATCGGCATGCCGAAATAATACTTCTTTTGTTGGTGTACTTTAAACCATCTTCAATTTGAACTTTGTTTTGAAACAACTGTTTCCTGTGTGTCTGCTTGTATTACATGTGATGCTTGTATCTGTTGACTGCTCTCAATAGTTGCCTCCGTCTTCTGGCTTGTAAGCAGATTTGGAAAGCCATATGATTTGCAAGTGCAGGTTTTGTTTTTGCGCTTTCACTTTATTTAATTGCGCTATGGCTTTGTATGGTCACATTTGTGCTTAAAAGAGGTTAATATGCAAAATGATTAACAGCTACAAGCACACGTCTTTGATTTTGTATAATCTTCGCCCATTCAATGTGTTTCAGTTTAGTTTTTCTTTTTTTCTTTTTTTTCTTCCTGTTTTCGTAAAATGGGAGTGCTAGTTTCTAAGCAGAGAACTTTTTCAAATTAAAAATTAATTGGGTGTACAACTTTTGATTTCCGCGCTTCTTCAACTAGAGCTTAAACAAAGATAAATTTTTCTAAACGAAGAAAAAAGTAAACTACCACAAAATGTGAGTGCTCACCCTGAAACTTTTACATGAAAATACTTGTCTGAAAACATTTTGTTTAAGAGAGACCACAACATTATACTCCCAATTGGGGGTATGGTTTTCACACAACCGTTTGTTAATGAAAGACGTGCTGGAGCATCTGTGTGATGCCTCATAAAAAAATAAAAAAAAATGAAAAAAAAATGAAAAAGCTTCAAATTTGTCCAAAGAAATTATGATACTCGTAAGTCCATCGACAAAGATGACTGCAGAAGACTCTCGGGGATTCACCGTCCTTGACCCAGGGGTCTATAACGCCATCACCATCGTCTCTTCCACAGTTTCGATGTTTGCAGGGAACGCCCGGCTCAATCTCGAACTCCTTCTTCCAACTTTTCCTTATCACCCGTATCGTCTCCCTACGACATCTGTTTACGGTGGGATTGCCGGATTTTGTGCATGGCGTCACGCTCTTCGTGCTTGAAAGGTCTCCGGTGGATACCCTGTTCAGGATGTTCATCGCATCATATTTTGTAGCGGCGTGACGAAACAACAAGATTGCCATAAAATACGCCGCAGCGAGGTGACCCCCATCCATCGCGCGTTGGAGATGTTGCAGGCCTGAACGCCCTTGGTTTAAATTGTAGATTTCCTCCTGATTTGAAAAAGAAAGAACCGTATGAGAATTATGATATAGTATGAGAACAAAAGTATGGTAGTTGGCACAGTGAACAATTTAGTACTCCAGAGATTATGCAAGTTTCAACTGTAGCCTTGTTAGCCTTGAAAACAGGTTCTTGGATATTCTGAAAATCAACTATCTCGCTCGCGCCTATGCAGTTAGTTCACTTCAAGCCTGTGGATCTACGGTTCATATCTTCGTTTTATCGGATTTGAAATAATTCCTTGATTCTGAATCTTGGACAATTGACATGCTGATATCTCTTATGTTGGGTAATAACGAGGACTAACTAATTAAAAGTGCTGTTACTGTTATATATCAAAATAATTACAAAATAAAAGTGGTGACGACAAGGATCGATGCAACTTACAACTCCAAGAATGAAGTTGGCTTCAAGATTGTCGCAATCTGCGCAATCTCTAAGCAGAGCAAAGTACGCATTGTTCTCCCACCACTGCAGCATGTCCTCCTTATCAACTGCGAGCGAACGGCCCACCAACTTCTCCTTCGATGCTCGGTAAAAACTCTTGCACCTAAAACATTTTAACAAAAAATTACAATCTTATATATGCTCGTTTATCATCTTGTACTCGTTTATCAACTCATAATTACGAATTTAAAGTGGTAACAGTACTCACGTTGCTCTGAGGACTCTGATATCCCTGAGAGGGGTTGAGGACTTGGACGCAATTTGCTTGGTTACTTCAAGAAGAAGGTCTTGAGGAAGAATGCTAACAATGGAGCTTTTCCTGTTGAGCTTCCTCATCACCTTTGAACGAGGTTTGTGCTCGGACTTCATCTTGTTCATGATTATGGTTAATAGTAAGAGAGCTGGAGAGGATTTCCAAGGAGAAAAATTGTACGATTCTCTTGGCAAAAGTGTTAATTGTTTGTGAGCAATGTGTGCACGGTGACCGTATTTATAAACAGGAGATTTTGTTTTTGATCTTGAGTAGTATTAGGAGTACTAGTTCGACTAGGATTATGGTTAATGGGTTTAAATTAGGAAACTGTTTAGATGCTTAATTTGGGTATCGGTTATCTGACAAATAAGTGGAAATACAGTAGTCCTTGTTTGAATAAACTTAGGCCTACTTCTACGCTTTGAAGCCTTCACGTACGGTTCTGTTTTCCTAATAAATAATAATAATTTTCTAATAAAAAATAAAGGCTCATAACATGCTTAGATAAATGCTAATCAAGATTAAATTGGAATTAACTGATTAGAAAAGTAATTGCAATATTCTAGAGGATTAATAAAAAGCTTGATACCTTTCCTACCAATTTAAAAATTAAAAAGCTTTTACGCTTCTAACTAGGGGTGTAAATGATTCGGATACGGCTCGGATATGATACTTACCAAATCGGTATCTGGTTACCAATCACGAATATAGACGCATATATTGATATATATATCGGCAAGAAAAACTCATATCCATATCCGCTAAAGTCTGATGCATATATGGATATACGTGCATGCACGCTATAAATATGAGAAAACAAGATAATATTGAAAGGTATAGTTCATATGATACAATACAAGAGAGTTCATTAATATGTTAATTTGCTATATCTAAAAAGCTAATATTGGACCTCTTGGCCATCAAAATTAACCATAAATCCATCTATATAAGGAATAAAACAAATGCAACTGAACGATCAACATCTATTCGGATATTTCAGATATGGGTCTAGGCATTTCACTATGCGTCCATATTCGTAACCATATCATATCATATCAGATATAGATATTTATTGACTATATATATATATATATATATATGTATTCTAATGGTATGTACAAATGTATAAGTTGATACAGAATTTTTTTGCAACCCTACTTCCAAAACTCCATGCCTATAAACAAACTATATATGACATCAAAATTGTAATAAACAAATTCTTCAATTCTCTGCAAAGAAACTATGACGCTCATAAGTCCATCTTTAAATTTGATTGACTGCAAAAGGTTGTATCATTCTCAAGTCTCCCATGGTGTTGATATTTGCAGGGCACCATCTGTTCCATCTGCCATTCCTTCTTTTAACTTTTCTTTAATTAATTGGAGTCTCTTTAATTAAGACATCTATTTATCATGAAATTGTCCGATTTTGTGCATTAATTTGGTCATGTTCTCTGAGCTTGAAAGACCTGAACCCCTTCTTTAAGTTGTAGATCTCTTCCTGATTAACAAAATGAATTTAGACTTATATAGTTAGGGTAACTCCTGAGATTGTACAAATGTCAATTAGTCTTAGCATTACAATTATTTTTTTATTTTGCAGATTAATTATATCATCCTTATGCGTATGCAAACAATTGTGTACAATAACAAACCAGTTCATTTAAACATGTTAACCCTCAATTTATAAATTGTCAAAAAAATCATTGTTATAACTTTTACTTTTTAATCATGTTTGTAAACAAATTAGTACATCAGTATAATTAGGAGTAAATTATATGAAAAAAAAAAATCCATGCCACTGGAAAACATAGAGAAATTTAGAGTATAAAAGAAAAGACCAACCACATGCTACAATTCTGTCTGTATTTAATTTTATCAGTTCAAACTTATCTTCTTTATTGTCCCTCTTCTTGAAACAACTAAAACAAATAATTCTTGGAGTCAAATGGGGTCATAATTTTTAAAATACCAAGAGCCTAATTTTAAAACATTATAATTAAAATAAAAGAAAAGACAATTTGAATATTTAAGAATCGACTCTAATTGGACATTTGATTTGAATTAATCTTACTTTGTATTAAGTTTCCTCCAATATCTAACTTATTTTATAAAAAAAATGAAAATTTTGATTTTATGATTTAGCAAATCCACTTTTAAAAAAATGTAAAATTTCTCTTATAATAGAACCTCAAAATGACTTTTGCATGACAAATGTAGTATTTGGCATGAAACCCTTGCTCATGGGCATACGAATCACACCAAAGCAAACCGATTATATGATCATAAGACAAGATACCAGTACCTGTAGTAGGGGTGCTAAACTGTATCCGTATCCGAGCAAATATCTGTAACCTTATCCATTAGGATATGGATATAGTTACTCATATTTATAACCGGTAGGATATGATCACGGATATAGTTTTGTAGTGAAATATCCGTATCTATATCCGAAATATCCGAATATATATTAGTCATACTCTTATGATAGTTTCGCTTCTTACATTATGGATTTGTGGTTAATTTTAGTGACAAGATGTCTACTTTTAACTTTTTAGTTATAATGAACATATTAACGAACTCTCTTGTATCGCATAAACTATGTTTTTCTCAACTATCTAGTTTTCTCATATCTGTTTTGTATCGGTATGCATATTCACTTATATATGTATATCCGTAACCGTATCCGATTTTAACGGATATGGATATGAATTTTTCTTACCGAGGTATATCTGCATCTGTATCCGTATTCGAGATGGGTAAGTGGATATGAATATAGTAAGCATCATATCCTAGCCGTATCCGGATCGAATGCACCCCTAACCTGAAGTCTTCAGTAATTCCATATTAGGCCATTAAGTCTTTGAACTTGCTCCTATGCCCCTCAATTGTAAATGTGTTCGCACGCCGGTCCATTTCTTAAACTTCTTGTTAGATATTGAAACCACTGATGGGTTAATTTTTAACCCAACACACTCAATCACCAAAATACCCCTCAAACATTTGCGAAACTCAAAGCGACAGTTGGGGAAGCTCAGAAATGAGTTAGAAATTTTTGGTCGTTGAAGAAGATGATGTTTGTCAGTTTTGAGTTTTTACTTAGCCGATTTTGGGTGTAAATCCATCAAGTAACATGTTAGCATAACTGTAAGTTCTCTCAAATTGTTATGTTTTAGGAAATGCTTCTATCGGATCTAATGTAAGTAAACTTGAGGGAATAATTTGAGGAAACCAAAGGTTTTGAGGGAATTATGAGGAGGGACTAATACGGAATTGTTGGAAATCATAGGGATTAAAATATTCTTAAGACATTTGTTCCTTAAACTCCCTTCTATCCTATGTTCTTTGTTTGGCTGGTCAAAATTTCTCCGCACGAAAATAGCCGTTGCCCATCAATGGCACGCCTCGTAATTCCACCCAAATCCCAACCCATTAGCGGTGACCTGGCCCCAAATAAATTTCCTCTCAATACTCGGCGCGAACCAAGAAGAAGAAGAAGCCAAAATCGCACCCTTCGGTGTTTCTTCTTCTTCTTCAAAATTCCCCCCCAAAAGTTTCCTCAACCCCTCAAAAAATTCAAAAAATTGAATTTTTAACCTCGAATTACCAATGTTCGAACGCAAAAAGCTCCATATTCGGGACAGCGAGGGCGAGACGTCGGGGCTGACGCTGAGCGATCCCGAGTCGCCGGTGG